CGTCAGCGAGCAGAGAGGTGCCCAGCCCGTCCCCAGGTGCTGGGTGCCACGGACCCTGTGTGTGGGTACCAGGGTTGGGTGCCCGGTGCTGACTCCTCCCTGTGCCCGTTCCCCCCCCAGGGCTTTGTGTCGCCCATCAAGCGGCTGGTTTTCCCGAAGGCTGCGCGGAGGGCAGCGCTCCGCAGCAGCGTCTACCGGCGCCCGCTGCACTCCGTGCCCCTCTATCCCCCCGACTACCTGATCGACCCCCAGATCCTGCTGCACGACTACGTGGAGAAGGAGGTGAAGGTAAAGGGGTCCTCAGAGATGCCTGGTGTCACTGCCTGCTTGGAGTGGGGACATGAGGTCACCCCAGGCAAACAGCCAGAGAGGGGGAGGGTGGGTTGGGGATGCAGGAAGGACCCCCTGCTGCAAAGTCTCTCTGCACCCCAGGGACATGTGTCCTGTCCTTGGGGAGGTGGCTGGGGGCTGAGGCAGGGGGGAAGGTGTGTACCCAGGCCTCCCCAGGCTGCGCTGGATTTTGTCCTCTCCCAGTTTTTAGGCCACCTGACATGGGTGACATCCTCCCTGAACCCTTCCAGCCGGGATGAGGTGCTGCAGCTGCTGGACACAGCCAGGGTAAGACCGATCACCACTCCCCAGGGTGCTCCCCAGTGCTGCCCAAAGGGTGGGCACTGGATGCCCCACGCTGCCCAGTGCCCCACGTCCCCCCCTGTGCTCTGCCCCTGCAGCAGCTGAAGGAGCTGCCGCTGCAGACGACCCCGGAGCAGGACAGCATCCTCAGCCTCTCTGCACGCTGCCTCCTGCTCACCTGGCGTGACAACGAGGAGCTGATCCTGCGCATCCCCACCCACGAGATCGCCGCGGCCTCTTACCTGCGGGACGATGCCCTGCACCTCCTCATCCTCAAAACCGGTGTGGGGGTCCGGCCTGAAATGTCACCGGCCGTGGCACAGCTGGCCCTGAGTGCCTGGTGTACCCAGGGCATGGGGGGCTGGAGCCTGGGGGCTGATGGGGGTCGGGATCTATCCAGGGCAGCAGCATGGGCTGAGCACAAAATCCAGGGTGTTCCCGCACTCAGAGGCTGGAGGGAGCACTGCCTGGGACTCTCTGCCAGGCAGGTCCCAGCTGTGCTGCCAGCTCTGTTTGCTTTAACGGCAGGAGGCAGAGAGCTGGGAGTGCCCCCCCGTCCAGTCCTGTCCCACACACACACAGACAGGGGCTCTGGCTCTTTGATCAGCAAACCCCGGCTCAGCTGCCAGCCGGGAGAAGGGTCCCCGGGAAGGGGGCTGTGCTCCAGCCGAGGAGTGGCCCCTAATCTCCTGCCCTGCTGCCCCCACAACCCACTGGGACTCTCACAATCCGAACCCGTGCCCCCATCCCTCTGCACTGGGCTGGTGGGACAGGGGCGCCAGGGCAGGGGCTGGGGGCCAGGCAGGGTGGGCAGCGCAGCCTCCCCACCGTGACACCCCTCCCGTCTCTCCCCACCGCCCCAGGCCTGGGAGTGGACCCGGTCCCGGCCGGAGCGCACCCCGAGGCGGCCCCGGCCGGCGTGCCGGAGGCGTTTCCCCCCGAGAAGCGCCCGGGGGGCTCGTGGCCGGAGGGGGGCCGGCTGGGGGGTGCGATGGAGCGGCGGCACACCATCTGCAGCCTGGACTGGCGGGCGGCGCGGGGCGGGCAGGAGGCCCGGCAGGGCGGCAGCCTGGAGCGGCGGCGGGGCGGCAGCTGGGAGCGGCGGCAGCGCGGGCGGCCCTCGGGCAGCTGGGAGCGGCGGCAGCCGTGCGGCGGCAGCTGGGAGCGGCGGCGGGCCGGCACCGCCGGCGGCAGCTGGGAGCGCGGCACCGGCTTCGGCAGCTGGGAGCGGCGGCACGCCGGCAGCAACCCCCTGGACCCCCAGGAGCCCTGCCCCGACGCCTACTCCAACCTCATCATCCTCGCCGTGCCCAACAGGGTGAGCGGCCCCGATGTGTGCCACCCGCCACCCACCGCCTGATCCCCCATCCAGCAGCACTCACTGCCCTCCTCCTCCCCGCTGCAGGATGCTGGCGAGGAGTCCTGTGCACTCATCTGCCAGGTGTTCCAGATCATCTATGGGGACCAGAGCATTGAGTGTGTGGACCGTGCCGGGTACCACTACACCTCCACACCCACACGGCCCTGGCTCTCCAGCAGGAGTGAGTGGCTGGGGGCAGGAGTGGGGGCACCAAATGGGGTGGCATGGGACTGATGAGTGGGCGTTCATGGGCACTGTATGGGGCTGATAGATCAGGGTGCATGGGCACAGCATGTGGGGTTTGGCCTCACTATGAGATCTTGGCTCTCCCTCCCCAGGCGAGAGCTGCCGCACAGATGGGACATACGGCTACGATGCCGACTACAGCTGCTGCAGCTCCTTGTGAGTCTGGCTCCCCCCAGGGGTGCCCCTGGACTGGGGAGAGGTGCCCTTGCCCTTGGGTGGGTGCCCCTGCTCTGGGTGGCTGCCTGTCCCAGCTGCAGTGGTGCCCCAGCCCTGTCCCACGGTGGGTGCTGTGCAGTGGATGGAGGGCAGCCAGGCACACTGGGGTTCAAGGGACTCGCTGATCCTCATCTTCCCACAGCAATGGCTCCCACGAGACCTTCGAGGCGTATTACAGCGGCACCTCCTCGCCCTCCTTCCACCGCTCCCACCACAGCCTGGCCACTGCTTGCAGCGGCAGTGACCAGAGCGGCGCAGGGCTGGAGCAGCTGCAGGACTACATGATGACGGTGAGGGCACAGGGATGGGCACGGGGATGGGCAGCAGGCCAGCAATGCCAGCGGCTGGGGGGGGTGCAGCAGTCAGGTCTGAGTCCCGTGTGCCAGAGAACAGGTGGGGGGACGGGACTGTGTGCTGCCAGTGTCTCCAACCCCGACCCGTCTCCGTGTCACTGCAGCTGCGCAACAAGCTGTCATCGCAGGAGATCCAGCAGTTTGCCCTCCTGCTCCGTGAGTACCGGCTGGGCACACCGGTGCAGGAGTACTGCACTGAGCTCCTGCGCCTCTACGGGGACCGCAGGAAGTTCCTCCTCCTGGGTGAGTATCTGCAGCCACGCTGTGTTACCCTGCTGATGTCTGTGCAGCCCTCGGGATGGGGTACTGGTGCTGGGTGTGCTCCAGGGGGTGTCAGGGGACAGGATGGGATGACCCCCTGCCAGCAGCCTGTGGGGTTCCCCTGACAGGGGCAGCCTCCTGAGGCTCGTGGTGCCCATGACAGGAATGAGGCCCTTCATCCCTGACCAAGACATCGGATACTTTGAGACCTTCCTAGAGAGCATCGGGATCCGGGAGGGCGGGATCCTCACCGACAGCTTTGGCCGCATCAAGCGCAGCATGAGCAACACGTCGGCCTCGGCTGTGCGCAGCTATGACAGCTGGTCCCTGCGCTCCGAGTCCGAGTCCTTCAACCGCATGATCACGGACATCACCCACGACATCGAGGCACTGGCGCGGGATGAGGAGGAGGAGGAGGAGGAGGACAACTACCTGTGAGCCACTGCCAAAACGCAGCAGTCACCAATGTGACTTCAAGCTGAGACTTGGAAGGTGCCCAGCTCTGCCTCAGCACGTGGGAGGGGGGACATTGTCCCTACATTTGTCACCATGGGAGGGGACAGGACTCTGCACTGCCCTGCCAGCTCTCAGCAGGGCTGTTGGAATCACAGGGCAGCTGTGGCTGTAGGGGAGCCACGTATCCTGTAATTTCTGCAGATTTCAATTAAATGTTGGGGCTGGAAGCAGAGCAGGTTCTTCCCCAAGTAAAGGCTGTATTGGGGTGCAGGGGCTGCTGTGGTGAGGGGTGTACTGAGGCTGCTGGGCTGGGCTGGGGCACCTGTCCACTCCAGCACCACATGCAGGTCACTCCCAGAGTCGGGGTGCTCCTGGCTGTTCCAGGCTCGCCCCCAGCAATATGAGGGGCCAGCGAGAGTGTGCTGGGACGAGAAGGGGCCACAGCTGGCCTGCTGCTGCCTGTGACGCCTGTGTGACACTCGTCCAGCTGCCGGTTGCGGGTGTTTCACAAAAGGAAGTTCCTGCCCCGGGACCCGGCTTCCTGCAGCACCGCCCTGCAGCCCCTCCGCCGCCGAGGGACAGGGCCGTGCTCCCCGCTGGCTGATGGACCTCAGCTGATGTCCCCTGGCCTCTCTACCCCAGCTAATGTCCCATGGCTGCTGGCCCTTGGCTGATGGCCCCGAGCCGATGTTCATTGGCAGGGGACTATAAGACGGCGCTGCAGCCCCAGACTGGTGTGTGGGCAGCAGATGCCGGGGCTACCACAGCAAATTATTTTTTCTCTTAAAAAATTTACTTATGCAAACCCCCATGAGGTGAGTTGCTCTTGCACCCTGGCTGCTTCCTCTGACACCCCGAGCCCAAGCAGTGCCCTGGTCAGGGGCATGGCAGAGCCGTGGGTCCCCTTGCTGATTCTGTCCCCATCCCAAATTCAGGGGTGCTCTGGGCAGAGCAAAGGCTGGAATGCTCTGGGGCTGGATAGGGCACCAAGAGGAGTTTAGGCACGGTAATACCAGGGCCAGCAGGGGACTTGGGGCACCTCCACCCCTCTGAGCTGGGCTTCACAAACCCCATGCCCCCCACCTCCCATGTCCTGGACCCCATCATGGGATGCTCAAGGGTGTCTTTTCTTCTTCCTGGGGATGGAGACCCAGGCTGACTCCGTGGTCTGTGCTCCACCCGTGTCCTCCATTGCCCGCCAGGTGAGGAAACATCCTGGGGGCTACTCTGCGGTGTTGGGATCCAAACCCACGCAGGGTCCCGGCGGCAGTGGGTGGGGAGAAGGGCTCTGGCACCCGTCGGGGGGACCCCAAGGACAGCGAGGTCACGAGAGGCTGGGATGTCCTTGCAGTGCTTTTAGGGGGGTCACCCCGGTACAGGAGCAATCGGCCGCGTCCGCCCCGTCCGGCAGCACCGGCGGAGTCGGGGCGGGGCCGTTCCGTGAGGGGCGGGGTCTTATGGGGGGAGGTGGGAGCACAGCCGGGCAGAGCAAAGCGGTGGCGGCAGCCCGCGCTCCGGGACCGGGACTGGGAGCAGAAGGGGGACGGGGACCCCAGGACGGCGGCAGAGGTAAGAGCTTGGGGAGCGGAGCCCCGAGGGAGGCGGGACAGGGCGGAGGAGCCCCGCGACCGGGCACGGGCAGCCCGGTGGGTCCGTCCCTGCGCCGGGACGGTCCCGCTCAGAGGGGTGGTCCCTGGGTGACAGGGTTGGGGCAATGGCAGGGAATCCAGGGAGTCTCGGCTGGGCACGGTGTAGCCCCGACGAGGGGGTCCCTTTTAGTGGCCTTGCAGGGCCTGCCGAGAACCTGCTGCTGCCCTCCCCGACTGAGGGCAAGGGGCAGCAAGGGCAGGGGGCTGCAGGCAGCCGTTCTCCCGCAGTGATGAGCACTCGCATCCAACCTGGTCCTCCTCCTGTGACTGGGGACACTGCACGGGACATGGCTCTCGGGAATGGGATACATCAGGAACACCAGCTATACCTCACGAGCCAGTGGGATTGGCACGGCCACACGTTTGGTGCAGACTGGGTGCCAGCAGGACCCTTGAACCCTCGGGGATGGTTGTGTTTCATGATGCCCTGACCCGGTGTGGGACAAACACAGCAAGCACTGGCCGTGGCGCCGGTGTGGGGCACGGCTGAGTTTAACCCAGGTGCCGTGTGGGTTTGCCAAGATGGATCCAGCACAGTCCTGTGCCCAGTGAGGGGGACAAGTTTCACGGCTGCCACTGCTGCTCCTGCTCTGCCCTGGGCTTTGTCACACGGGGAAGGATGAGGAATGGGGTGTTGAGGTGACAGTGATGTCCCTGGAGAGTCGTGGAAGTGCAACTGTGCTGTGCACATCGAGGGCTCAGCCCTGAGCTTCCTCCTTCACTGCCACCACCAGCACCTTCTCCTTTCTCAGCACCCAGGTCTCTCCGGTCAAGGGAAGTTCATTTGCGAGGGGTTTCCCACTCTTGCTGCTTCCTGCAGCAATTTTTTTCCCACTGAGTTTCTTGGGGAGCTGGAGAAAGTTGAGAATTTCCCTTCACCCTGGGCTGGCTGTTCGAGGCGGCTCCACCCAGCAGAGAGCAGGGGAGCGTGGTGGGGAGCAGTGACCCGTGGCGGGGGGGGGGCCATAGGCACCAGCAGTGCTGTGTGGAGAGTCCCGAGCTGCAGGGGAGACCACCGTGATGAGGGTCCCACTTTGCAGAAGACACCAAGTGGCTCTCTGCTGCCACGGTGACCAGCGGCTGCAGCCTGTCCTGAAGTGGGGAAGGGCTGGGAAGCTGCTCCATGGCAGCTGCTGTCATCCACCCAAAATTTGCCTGCTGTGACAGAATGGGGCTGGAGCAGGGCTTTCACCTCTGTCGCAATGGCCTCACTTCCCCTCCCTTGGCTGCAGCATGGGCTGTGTGAAGTCGAAGGCAGCTGATGTCCAAGAGAAGACGATAAAAACTGATCCTGACCCTGATCCCGGCCCCGGTGTCCAGCAGGGCCACTATGTGAGGGATCCCACGGCTGCCAACAGGAGGGTGAGTGGGAGCTGCTGAGTGAGCTGGGGGTTCAGGGCTGAGCCATCATGGGGGGCTCAGCCCCTCTCCTCCACAGAGCTGCCAGCACTGACAGTGGGGCCAACTGTGGGTACTGGCAGTGCCTGTGCACTGGGGCAGGGACTTGGCTTTGGGTAGGAGCCCAGGCCACACTGGAACAAAGCACAGAGTAGACATGATGGGAATCCAGGAATTATGGAGAAAGAGAGAGAAAAACTAAGGTGTTGGGAAGAGATGGAAATGCTGGTGCTGTGTGGGTTGTTGTGTCAGGTGGTGCTGGTGATGCCCCTTGGTGCCCTCCTGTCCCTGCCATTGCTGTTGGGGGCCAAGACCCCCATGGGAAACAGGTCTCTGACACCTGCAATGTCACTCTCTGGTTTTGTCCCACTTTCCAGAACACTCATGTCCCCAGTGTGGCTGTGCCCCTGCCTGAGGATGGTAGGTACAAGGGGGCTGCAAGTGGGTGCAGGAGGTGGGAGTGTGTGGGGGTAGTGTGGCTGGGTCCTCTCCAACCTGGGGGGAACACTGCTGATCCCTGTGGGATGGGAACTCTGGGCCCCTCGAAGGCCAGATGTGACATGATGAAGATGGAGATGCTGGGTGCTGCAGGGGTCCTGGCCGGTGTTCATGGCAGGAGTGGCCAGGCAGCCATCCCAGCATGGGGAGGGGTGCCCAGGGAGCTCCCTTGCTGCAGGCTCAGGGGACTGTGTAGTGCTGGCACTCTACGACTACGAGGCAATGAACACTGGGGATCTCAGCTTCCAGAAAGGAGAGCGGCTGAAGGTGCTGGAGGAGTAAGTGCTGCTGGCATTCCCCCATCTAGGGTTTCCTGAAGGCTTGCATGACCCTGTCAGGATTTTTTTCCTGGAACTTGCTCCTGGAGGAGCTGCCAGGTGCCATGAGCCAACCAACAGTGTTTCTGTCACAGGTCAGGGGCCTGGTGGCAAGCGCGGTCACTGGTGACGGGACGTGAAGGCTTCATCCCCAGCAACTATGTTGCCCGAGCTGACTCCTTGGAGACAGAGGAGTGAGTCCATCCCTCTGTGGCAGATCCTGGTCCCATGGGGTGCTACACTCCCTCACCTCAACTGTCCCTATTCTCACCCACATCCTGCCCCCAGCCCTGCCCCACACCAGCCTGGGCTCCCCGGCAGCATTCCTTGGTTCCTTTGGTTCTGCTGCAGGTGGTTTTTCAAAGGCATCAGCCGGAAGGACGCGGAGCGGCAGCTCCTTGGCCCCGGGAACATGATCGGGTCCTTCATGATAAGGGACAGCGAGACGACCAAAGGTGCAGAGGGGTGTCTGGAGCTCAGTGGTGGGGAACACCTGCCCAGGGAGCCTCCCTCACTCACATTTAGCTGGCAGAGGAGCTCAGGAGATCCCTCCCCAGGCCGGGGCATCTGCTGTGCTGCGCACAGGGACTGGGGGGCCCATATCCCTGCAAGAGCCCATGGTGCTGCCACATGTCCGAGCCCCGTGGCAGGGACAGGGGGATGCACCCCTTTGAGGCTGCTTTGGGTGTTTGGGGCACAGCCATAGCTGGTCTGGGGCTGAAGGGGTGGTGGCAGCACGGTGGGACGGGCGCTGCTGGCTCTGCTGGGCGACGGTTCCATGAGTGCCGGGAGCATGAGATGTCCAGGCACAGCAGGGATATGTCCCTGTGGGGGCTGCCAGCTCACCCCTCCCCAACCAGGCTGCTACTCGCTGTCGGTGCGGGACGGGGACGAGATGCAGGGCGGGGCAGTGAAGCATTACAAGATCCGAACCTTGGACAGCGGCGGCTTCTACATCTCTGCGCGCAACAACTTCAACACGCTGCAGGAGCTGGTCCAGCACTACAAGGGTGAGCCTGGGCATGCCCGGCCCCACCACTGCAGGTGGGGCTTTGTCCCTGAGCCAAACAGCCACCAGGCAGACAGGGGTGTGCAGATGCTGAGTGGCTCCTGCCTGACGCTGCTGGGCTTCTGCCGTGGCCCTGGCTGAGACATGCAGCAATTCCCAGGCCTTCCCCTGGCGCTGTGGCTTGCTGGCTGTCACTGCTGTGGGTGTGGTGTCCCTGAATACTCATGGACTCCCCCTTGAAGCACAGTGTGGCTGGTGAGACAGGCCAGCTAATGGTCCTGGTTGCTCCCTGCAGGTCAGAGCGATGGGCTGTGCCAGAAGCTCACCCACCCCTGCCACGTGCCCAAACCGCAGAAGCCCTGGGAGAAGGATGCTTGGGAGATCCCTCGGGATTCACTGAGGCTGGAGAAGAAGCTGGGAGCTGGGCAGTTTGGAGAAGTGTGGATGGGTGAGAGTGAGGGGGAGGCAGCTGGGAGGAAGATGAAGGTGATGGTGAAGGAGGAAGGGTGAGGGGTGGGAGAGGAGGCGGAGGGATGGTGGGATGAAAGAGGCAGAGAGGGAGAGGAGCAGGGGGATATGGAGGTGGCCCTGCCTTAATGCAGGGGCTGCTCAGGGCTGGGTGTGTGGGGACAGCCCTGGGCTGTGCACAATCTCCAGCCCTCACACAGCAGCTACATCTGCAGGGGTGGGGAGTTTGACTCCAAAACCCAGTGCTCCCAGTGCAGCCTGGGAATGGTCTGTTGTGCCACCCCCCAGCTACCTACAACAAGCACACCAAGGTGGCGGTGAAGACGATGAAGCCAGGCAGCATGTCTGTGGAAGCCTTCCTGGAGGAGGCAAACCTGATGAAGACACTGCAGCACGACAAGCTGGTGAAGCTGCACGCAGTGGTCACCAGGGAGGAGCCCATCTACATCATCACTGAGTTCATGGAGAAAGGTGCCACCCACATCCCTGAGTGGTGCCTGTGGGCTGGGCCAAGTGGCAGCACCTGGGATGGTGCAGGAGCAATCCTGCATCCCTGGGCTCTGCACCAGCTCCTGGGACACTGGGAGCAGGTCTGGCTCCAGCCACTGTGTGCCTTACCCACTGGGGCAGGGTGCTGGGTGGGGGGATGTGGTGACAGCGCTGGGAGAGGAGGGACCCCCGACAGGGGACAGATGAAGAGGAGCACTCAGCAAGGCAGGAAGGAAACCTGCAGCTGTGTTTGCCCCTTGGCCAATCCATGGGAGCAGGGTGGGGGATCAAATGTGTTTCCTGAGTCCCATTTCCTGCTCGGCTCCCTGGGACCCTGTGCCACCCTGAGGATGGCTGCAGGCTCCAGCTGAGCCATCAGCCCTGGCACTATTCCCTGTCTACAGGGAGCTTGCTGGATTTCCTGAAGACAAATGAGGGGAACAAGCTGCCGCTCCCGAAGCTGATCGACTTCTCTGCCCAGGTGAGGACCTTCCCTGGCTCCTGCTCCCCCTTGTGCCCCTGAGAAGGATGAACGATGGGATTGAATTTACCTGGGGCTTGAGCAGCACCAGCCATGAGCCTGGGTCTGACCAGGCAGACACTGGGAGTGCTGGGGATGCAGTGAGGTTCCCCTGTGGGCAGCTGCTGCCTGCTCACCATCCCCATCCCGCCACCTGTGCAGGAGCAGACGTGTGTGAAAGGAGAAGTGGCAGCTTCCCCCCACCCAGCCTGGTATCTGCAGCACACAGCCAGCCCCCTGCACCCAGGCAGTGCTCACCAGAGCTGCATAGAGCCTGGGAGGGGGGTTGGACAGGCTGATCCTTCCAAGGGGCCAGGAAACCTGCAACTTCTAAGGCTGCTGTGGTTCCTGCAGCCCACGCAGGGGCTGCTGTGCTTTGTGGATGTTCCAGGGGTGAGGGATGGTTGTGTTTTTACAGCTCACATTTGCACAGTCCCTTCTCTGGGACGTGCTGGTGCTGGTCGATGTGGCTCATTCAAGCCCAGGGCTAAGCTATTGGTTTCTATTGCTGTGACAGTTTACCTGCAAACCTCGCCTCCCAACTCAGCCCACAAACCCAGTGTGGCCATATGCCCATGCATGTCCCCAGCAAGGTGCTCTGAGGCTTTACCCTGGCTCAGCCTTGCTTTGGGCAGGATCCAGCTTGGCTGTGGGGGTGTGAAGCCACATGGGTTTAACAGGACCCCTGCAGCACGATCCTGGGTGCTCCCAGTGCCTGGGAGGCTGAGCCAGCCACAGTTCCTGGTCTCTAGGAGGGACTAGGAGTACTCTCTAGGAGTACTCCAGTACTGTGTTGGCCCACAGAAATGGCTATGGGAGGTTTGTGGTTCACTAAAGTCACCAAAGGACTGTCAAGGGCAGAGGGAGGCAGCTGGAGAGGCAGGAGCACTCAGTGATAATTATTTCAGGGACATTTTCAGGACCTGATTTTGAACACAGCAGAATTTGCTGTTATACACCTCATTCCATATGTGTAACCATTTGTACAACCACTGAGTCCCTGCTGCTTCTCCAGTGCCTCCCATTGAGGGCTGAATCTGGGGACCCTCTGAGCTGAGCTTGGTACCTCTATGAAACATTTCCAAGAGGCACCTGAGCAACAGGAAAGGCAAGATGGGAGCCCAGACCCCGGGGGTTTAGACCAGGTTACTGGCTGCTGGAGCGGGCTGTGCCGGGGTCTGTGGATCAGCTGTGCACTCCTGCACACCATCTGTTCCCAGCAAGCTGGATCATGCCAACCCCCAGCTTGGCCCACAGCTCTGAGGAGCTGCTTGGAGCAGCACTGGGGAGCAAAGGCTGATGTGCTGCCATGAGCAGGCAGCAGCCTTGCACTTTGCTGGGGCTGAGTCACAGCGGTGGAACTGCATCTATGGTCAAGGAAATGATCCTTCCGCTCTTGCACTGCCTCTTTACTTCTGTATTTTGTGGGGAGAGCTGTGTGAGAGCTGCACCTCACACTGGGCTGGCTTGTGCTGGTGTGGTGGGGATGGGTGGGTGTCCCCTCTGGCTGCTCCAGCCCCTTCACCTTCTGGATGCTGGTCACATCCAGGCATGGGGTAACTAGGTACAAATTTGAGGGTTGGTTGTGCACACACCAGGTCACCTCTGCATGATCAGCTGCACACACTGAGTGCAGAGACTTCTGAAGATGGAGGTGGGGGGGATTACTGGGGGCCAGGACAGCCATATAGCTCCCAGGCAAGGCTGACTCTTCACAAACTAGTCTGGAAGACTCCAGGCATCTCCCCACCCTACCCAGGAAAGCCACCCCTGTGGTTTTCTGCCCTGGCCAGGGAAGTTCTGCGATGCAAACCCTTCCTGCAGCAATCATAGTCCATTTGTTGGTCCCTTTGTGCAGGGGGGACAGTTGACTCCCAGCTTCCCTTTGTGGATGTGTTTGGAGATTGGCCTCACATCTTCCCTGAGCAGAGAGTGACATGCTTGCCTCCACATCCGCATGGCTGTGGATGAAGCGGTTACACGTTGCCCTGCAGAGACCCACAGTCACCTGCTCATGAGCACGGGAGCTCCCTGGGTGTCATTTCTCACGGCCTTTTTCATACAGCAGCTTAAAGGTGTCATGTTGTGCTGGTCACTCAAACCCCAACCTCTCCTGCAAGGGATTTCCCTGCTCGGAGCACGGTTCCCATGCAGGAGTTGGTCCCACAGAATCACAGAATAGTTTGGGTTGGAAAGGACTTTAGAGCTCATCTCATTCCAACCCCCCTGCCATGGGCAGGGACACCTTCCACTAGACCAGGTTGTTCCAAGCCCCATCCAATCTGGCCTTGGACACTTCCAGAGATGGGACATCCATCTCCTGCTGTGGCTCAGCCCCCTCTCACCCCTTTCTGAGCACTGCCCAGAAGCTGTTGACTTCTTCAGCGCTGGGTGCGGGGGGGGGCTTGTTATTTCAAGCAGCCTCTTTGCATTTCCCTCGTTACCCTGTGGCAGATTGCAGAAGGAATGGCTTTCATTGAGAAGAGGAACTACATCCACAGAGACCTGAGAGCTGCCAACATCCTGGTGTCAGCAATGCTGGTGTGCAAGATCGCAGACTTTGGGCTGGCCAGAGTCATCGAGGACAGCGAGTACACGGCCCGGGAAGGTGGGGAGCTGCTGGGGGTGAAGGGTTGGAGGGCTCCCTCAGAGCCACTGACCAGTGTGTGCTGGGTGTGTGGACAGGGGAGGGAAGCTCCTCTCATTTGCATCACTTCACTTCCTCCTCTTCTGTTTGTTTCTTGTTCCCCAAATTTCACCACCCATTTCTCAGCATTTGGGTCCGAGTTCATGTTTCCTGTTGTATCTCTTTGTCCAGGTGCCAAGTTTCCCATTAAATGGACTGCACCAGAAGCCATCAACTACGGATCTTTCTCTATAAAATCTGATGTCTGGTCCTTTGGGATCCTCCTGACCGAGATCATTACCTATGGACGCATCCCCTACCCAGGTAGGGAGGTGAAATGCCTCCTCTAATCTGACTCCAAAAGACACACTTCACTTTTTGGGCCCCACCCGTGGCTTCTAAACTCCTCCAGCACCATGGGAAACCTCTGTAAGCCCTTATCAGTAGGGACCACTCTCTATTTTATACTAATTGTTACTTTGGTATCTTTTTTCAACAGGAAATTAGTCTGTAAATCCTGCTGCAAATGAGCCAGGAAAGATCTGGCGTAGCACAAATGGCTGTTCTGAGGAGCAGCTCTGCCCCCCCCACTGACCTGTTTTCATTGGAAGCAATGGCTCGTTACAGACTCAGCACAGGGAGACGTGGAGCCTTTATTTATTTATTTTTTAATTTATACAGAGTGATTATAAGTCCCATCTGCTCTGGGGTACAGAGCTCCATGCCACAACTAACCCAGAGTCTCGGTTGTCCGCATGTTTCCCTGACCCGGAGCAGCAGTTCCCCCTTCCCAACCCCTCTAACCACTCTTTTTCCTTCCTGGTGACATTGCCCACAGGGTGAGCAGGTTTGGGCGTGGGGTTTGTATGCCTTTTAAAGAAATCCATGTGTGTGGCATCCACCTTTGCCTCCCTGTTTCTCCAGGGATGTCGAACGTGGAGGTGATCAGGGCGCTGGAGCGCGGGTATCGGATGCCCCGCACGGAGAACTGCCCCGAGGAGCTGTACGACATCATGATGAGGTGCTGGAAGGCCAGGCCCGAGGACCGTCCCACCTTTGAGTACACACAGAGCGTTCTGGAGGATTTCTTCACTGCCACAGAGAGCCAGTACCAGCAGCAGCTGTAGCGCAGGACGCTCGGGGCAGACACTGCCAGTGACCACGCATCCCGCTCTTCCCTGTCCCACCCGTGCCCTGCTTCTCCCGCCAGCCTGGCCCCGGATTTCCCCAGGATACATCGTGGCCCAGGAGCCACAGCCTTCCCGGAGTGGCTGGGCTGGAAGCAGAGCAGGAGGGAGCCATGCTCGGGATGGATGGAGAGAGAAGCGATGTGTGGCTGTTCCCTGTGCCTTTCCCAGGAGCTTGAGTGCCTGTGGGAAGCACTGGCTGGACAGTGGTTGCCACGCCCGCATCTCCAAAGGAGCAGGGACAGGGATGGGGTTGGCCCTGCTTCTGCTACAAAGTAAAAAACCCAGATTAGTTTTTTTTTTTTAATTCTTCTGAGATCTTATCCTGCCATTCTCCAGGTGCTTTATCTGCACTGGCCTCGGTGAAATGCCCTGCAGTGCCCGTGCCCCACCTGGTTCCTTTGTGTCCCAGAGATCCCAGGGCATTCCCAGGCGATGCAGCACTTTGACTCATCCTCAGCGCAGGATCCTGGAGTTTGGATGTCGAGTGTCACAGACACGTGTCCTGCTCTCTCCCTCCTGGGTTTCATTCCTCAGTATTTTCACAGCACCCCCTGTGGAGAGCACAGGTTTGCTGAGGCTGTGCAGGAGGGTGGGCAGACAGACAGACAGACAGCGCTTTTCCAGGCTGTCCCTGAATGGATCCCCTTCTGCTTGCCTTGGGAGGAACCTCTGGAGCCCAAAGTCGTGGCCCAAGGAAACCTCTCCCCTGTGGCAAAGCTCACAGGCAGGATTTGATGTCTGCTGGGGAATTTGAAGAGTCAGCAAGGGCCCGGTGCTCCCTGCACACTCACTTAATGTTGTTGTTTATTTTTAGTATTTAATGACAGGTTATTTGGGGAAAAGAAGGAAGCAATATATTATTTTTAAGATAGCCCTGTACCTCTTACAGCAGGGAGATCAGGGCCTGTGATTATATTTTCGATACCAAGAGGAAAATGCCAACGCTTCAGCTCTTTTCTATCTGCTTTGTGAGTTTCTTTTTGTAATCAATAAAGTATTTATCAATCTCTCCTCGCCTGGCCGTTCCTCCCGCCCCGGAGCCCGGGCGGGGGGATGCGAATGGGACAAGGGTTGGGGGACGTGGATGGGGCAAGTTGGGGTCCGAAGAGCCCCTCAGGGCGAGCCCCAGGCCCAGGTGCGTCCGAAGTATCCCTCAGAGCGGGCCGCAGGCCCGGGCTGGTCCGGGGCGCCTCTGGGAGCAGACCCCGTTCTCCCGGACCGGCGGGGACGGACCGGGAGGTTCGAAACCGCATGGCCCCGGCCCCGCCCGCACCAAACATGGCGGCCGCGGCGTCGTGCCCGCCCCCTACGCCAAGCCTCATGCCCTCAACAAAGATGGCGGCGCAGGCCGCCCCCCGTCCCCGACCGGCTCCACGAGGCCGGAGACCCGCTGGGGACTGAGCAACTACCCCTACCCCGCCCCGTCTAGCAGGGCGGAGCCGGGAGGAGCCGGGGGTGAGGCGGGCGCGGCCCCGGCGGTGCGGAGCGCAGCCTCCCGGTGCGGCCCTGCCCGGCCGCCGCGGTCGCCATGGCGATCTGCCCCGCAGCCAACCGCGCGCCGCTTCCGGTGACGTCAGCGCCGACACGTGGATGCAAGATGGCGGCGTCGGCGGCGATGGTGAGTGCGGGGGGGCCCGGCCCGGCCCCGCGTCCCACCCGCAGACCCCCGGCCCGCACCGCCACCGGCCCCGCCGCGGGGCGCGGGGAGGGCGCTCCGGGAGGGCCTGGGAGGGTCACAGGCCCGGCCGCTGTCCGCAGGAGGCTCCGCCGTGTCTCCCGGGGCCTTGCAGCCGTGCCGCGTCCCCCGGCGGTGTCACCGGCGCGGGGCAGAGCTCAGGCCGCCGCTCGGTACCGACGGGCCCGGAGGAGCGGGGCGGGTGCCGGCCCCGCGCTCCCGCGGCAGCAAACTTGGCACCGTGTCGCGGGTCACGGCGTTGTCTGGGCAGGAGGGGCCGGGCCGGGCCATTGTGGGTTGTAGGGAGTACTGGCGCTTCTTTCCCATTCCCTTCCCCTCGCTGTGCCGCTCTCTGGAAGGAAGGCGTCGCCCTGGACCCGGTGCTGGTGCCAAGCAAAGCGGCTGTTGCGCTGTGCGTGATTTTCACAGGTGTTCGGTGGTAATTGTCGGGCCGGGGTGCGAGCAACTGCTTCACCTTCCCGTCGTCCCAGCATCCCTGTTATTATTATTGAATTATTCCCTGAATCCTCAGAGAGCTGCATATGTTCCTAGTGGGACTTTGCTAAGGTAGCTGAGCATCAGTGCCACCTCACGGAGGAGAAAACGAGCTGCTGGGACGTTACTTACCTGCCTTGGAGTCTTGTAGGAGTAAAATGGATTTCCTCATGGCTTTCCCAGAAGAATATTTCCATGACAGTGTGGATAAAGGATGTGTGCTGATAGAAAGGTCGCTGCTGGCCAGGGCTGGGGCGTGAGGTGACTCATGGAGAGAGTGCCCTTACCACTGTGAGTGTCCTGTTGATGTGCCTGAGGGCAGAATGAAGGTTACATGTGTAATCCTTTGGTGGATTTTTCTTTTCCTCCCACAGAGCAGTGGGGTCGTGCCTTTCCTCCCTTTCTGTCACCACATTCCAAAGTTTCAGTAAGTGGAATGGGATAGCAAAGCTTTGTGAATCCATCTGGACAGGTTTTCCCTGGTTTTCTTCAGTGCTGAAAGTTAACAGCCCTTGATTATGGCTGTTTGATGCCCTTCTCTGCCCAAAAGAGATGGGATAATGTCCATCATTTCATTCGCAACATCCATCGTTGTCACTTACTACTTCCTCTTCCTCACTTTGAGCAAATACTGTGTTCTGAAGTTGTTGGATTGTGAAACTCTCTAAGACCTAAACCATCACTGGTACAGCACCAGCCCGATTCAAATGCTTGCAGGATGCTTGAAATTGCTGCAGCTTGAGGATCTCTTGGCTTGGGCAGGGACATCCTGGGCAGTCGTGACCCGGCCACGGACCCTCTGGGGCACCTTGGAGCTGTTGGAGTGCCCCAGGGAAAAAGCTGCTGTTTTCCCTTTCTCTTAAATAAATGCTGGAGTTCAGACTCTGCCAGTGCTGGCTGTAGGGAAGCACGTGGTGATAACTGCACGTTTTAGGGTCTCGTCATGCTGGGTCAGGCTGGGGCTTAGTGAATAATTCCTCTGTTGAGGCAGCGTGGCTTCTGTGCATTCACAGAAAGTGGCAGTGTTGTTTAAGTCTTTCTGAGTGGGATAAATTAAAGAAACTGTGTCCTGGAGTTGTCTGCAAATCCCAAGTCTAGTGGTAATTATCCAGGAGTGCCTTCTTGGAGAGAGTTGGTGTGTGAACAGGGCAGGAAATACTGTTAGAGTTTCTGCAAGGAGTTTGAGTTAGTTCCTTCTTACAGCCAAGTGCTTTGTTCTGAAGGTAATTACAGGAATATGTTTTCAATATCTTTCTAGAGAGATCCCACAGGCTTGAAGAAGCTGCCCTTGGAGGAGGGTGTGCTGGGCTGTGGGGGTGTTTGGTGAGCTGTGCTGGCAGCTCTGGCAGGGTCCTGCCTGCACCGTGCCAGCTGCTCCCAGAGTGACATGCTTTGCATGGGCTCATGCCATGACTTCCCCAGGATACATTCTGCCTGTGGGAGAGAGAAGTCAGAGTGTGGCTCCTATCAGGGGCCTGTGTGCAGACAGAATATAGTGACATTTGAAATAGATTTGGGTTTTCCCCCTTTTTTAAGGCAGAGATTTGCTTTCCTTCCACAGGATTTTTGCTTGTGATGGATCTTTTCAGTCTGAGCAGTGCTCTGATTTGGGGGATAGGAGGGGGTAATTTTACTTCTGCAGTTCTCTTATTTAGACCATATTCTCCTAAGAAAGGGTCTGTCTGCATGTCTGCATATGGGAAAATAATCAGGCTTAGTCAATCCAGACTATTTTTGCCTACATGCAGCTGGGTTTTTCTCAGTCTGGAGTTGTGCCTGTTTGTTGTGCTACTTGTTGCTTCGTTATATGATTTCCTGGCACCTCAGATGCACAACTGTTTCGTGCATGTGTTTTGAAACATAAATAATTGGTAAAGGCTGCAAAGGTGTGTGTCCTGTCTGCTGGGGGGCCTCACCAGGGCTCCACGACTGAACAAAAGCACAGCTCCATCCTGGAAGTTCTGACCTTGCATATGAGAAAACTCGGCTTCCAGATGTTCCCCAAATGAGACGATCACCTGGCCAGGCCCATGAGTTACACAGATGTTTTGGGTGGTGTCTTAGTTGCCATTGCTAAAGCTGATGCCTTTGTTTGGAGAAGATGAAGCACATCTGTGAGTACAAAAGCAAAGATCCTGACAAGAAAGAACCTCAGCATCAGCTTCCCTGTGCTCTGCCAGCTCAGGAACCTGCACTGGGCATTTCCTTCAAATTTCACTTCCAGAGCTCCCCCACCTGTTGCATAGCAGCATTCCCGTGCCTTGCTACCAACTGTTCCTTCCTGGCACAGCCTTCCAGAGTCGCCCTCTTGTCTTTTCTGTTGCCTGGTGCTGCCTGAGTCATCATCACCTGTATGCAAAGAGCCTGATTTCTGCAAAATTTTTGTCATCAAAAATTTCATATTCTATGTGCTCATGTGTCTCCTGAGCATCTGCTGAAGTTCTGTCCTGGTCTTGTCACCTCCAAGCCCTCTGGGGCAAGGGTGGCACCTGTATGGTTTTGGTTTGCAAGTAACAACATAAAAGATCTCAGAATTGCAGGATGGTTTAGGTTGGAAGGACCTTAAAGCTCACCTAGTTCCAACCCCCTGCCATGGGTAGGGACACCTTCTCCTATCCCAGGTTGTTCCAAGCCCTGTCCAACCTGACCTTGAACACTTCCAGGGATGGGGCAGCCACAGCTCCTCTGGGCAACCTGTGCCAGTGCTTCACCACCCTCAGTGAAGAAATTAATTAAGAATTTCTTTGTAATATCTAATCTAAACCTAATCTCTGTCAGTTTGAAGCCATTCCTCCTTGTCCTGCTCTTGTAAATATTCTCTCTCAATCTTCCTTTTAGGCTCCCTTCAGGTACTGAAAGACCACATGTATCTGATGATTCAGTGCTAACATCTTCTGTAGGTGCTTAGCAATAGCATTTTAAATACATTTTAGATTTTAAACCCACCAATATTTATGGCTTTTTCTTTCATCCTGTTCAGTTCCAGTAATTCCGTTGGCCCTTGCTGGTGTCTGGGACAAATGTACCTTCCTCACCTCAGAATAAGGGAGGTGATGAAGAGAAGGGGTGTGGGGGCAATAAACACAGATTTATTTTTTTTTAAATATATTTTTTTCCAAAACCTGAGGAA